TGCCTAGCAAAGTGCGCATGCGGGCTGAAGAGGGCCTGAACCTTTTTCTTTTTAAATTTATATTTATATTTTTTATTGATTTATTTCAGAGAGGAGGAAGGGAAAGGGAGAGAGAGAAACATCAATGATGAGAGAGAATCATTGATCAGTTGCTTCCTGCATGCCCACAACTGGGGATTGAGCCCACAACCTGAGCATGGGCCCTGACAAGGAATGGAACTGTGACTTCCTGGTTCATAGGTCAGTTGATGCTCAACCATTGAGCAACACAGGCCAGGCATGGGGAGTTTTCTTAAGGTGGTAGAACCTACAGTGACTTCCACTACATAGAGAAGAAGTTTCAGGGTCTTCCACCTCCTGCCTTCTTTCTTCCTCCTTTAATTCTACCAGTGACTTGCCTGAGGCTCTATAGCTCTAAAAGGCAGTAGCACCTTGGTTCAGATCCATCCCTCAAACTCTGAGTTCAATGAACCCTCCGCAACATTCCGCTGTACCCGGCTACCTAATAAACTATATCATTCCACTTACCAGGTGGTTAGATTTCCAATAAGGTCCACCACTAGGAAAGTAGTTTGAATCTATTGAAACTCTGGAAGGTTGATTGGTTGATTAAATATTTGGTTATCTAAAGATTAACCAGAAAACTGCTATTGTTTTAACCTTTATGGTTATGAATCATTCAGAACATATTAGTCACACTTTCTGCTCCTTTAGGAATTCTGGAAGAGTCATACTATCTTAGAATGGGGAGGAATCTTAGTTTTTCAGAGTCTTGCCGTGCCTCAGGGCCATGATTCTGGAAGAAAGTCTTATTTAATATTAGTATAAAACACACAAGCTATTCAGCTGACCCTGGACATAGCGGAGGTTTAGTTTTGAAAGAAATTTCTGATTTAGTTGGCTTTCTTTTGATTTATTTCTTGGACATGACTGCAAGTCTTTTTCACTTAATTTAATTTTTTTATAATGTTTGTTTTTCTGGCTTTATTCTGTAACGTGAACCCAAATTTTATCTGCAGTGCCTAAGCTCGTAGACAGCTGTTATCCTGGAGTACATTGAAACTGTGACATGGGAATTGGTCCAGAAATCACTTACATGAGCAAGCACTCAGGCTTCACAGCTAAGTGAGAGAATGATTTCAGCGAAACCATCTCTCCTCCATTTGCACGTTTCTACATGTTTTGGTGACCAGGTCTGTGCCAGCAATGGGGGGGCAGGTTACATATTCCCACTGCAAACACTTGGTGCAGAGGAGAGGGCTGCACTGTTTTGTTTTGTTTTTTCCTTTCAGTAAGCCAGAATTGGTAGTGGAATTGTGTCTGAGGAAGATATTGAAAGTATTGGCTCCTCAGGGATAGGGAGGAAATATGTATGCCTAGTGCATTTCCTCATTCCATCTTCTAGTCCCTCAGAGTCATACTCAGCAAAAGGCACTGGTCAGGGTATAAAATGTCCAATTAAACATACTTAAGCAACTCAGTCCTAGTCACTAATGACCTTGAGGTTATTGATTCTGTCAAGGCTTAATCTTTTTTCTTTCTTCTTTTAAAATATTTTAAAATTGGTTTTTGGAGAGAGAGGAAGGGAGAGGGATAGAGAGCTAGAAACATTGATGAGAGAGGATCATCGTTGATGGCTGCTCCTGCACACTCTCTATTGGAGATTGAGCCTGCAACCTGGGCATGTGCCCTGCCTGAGAATCAAACCAGTGACCTCTTGGTTCCTGGGCCAATGCTCAACCTTTGAGTGACACCAGCTGTATTTTTTTTTCTTTTTCTTTTTTAATGTAGAAAAAAGTTTAACCTAAATTTGTTTCTGTATGATTTGTCCCTTCAGGATTGAGCCCTTCATTTTCTCCACTAGAAAACTGGTTGTAATTTCTGTATTATCATAGACTTCTTGCCTTATTTTTTCTCGGTAGTTTCATTATAGTAATTGTATTCTTAGGGCCTGAAATTTAGCATAACTGTAAATTTCAAAGAAATGGCTGCCATTGATAGCTCCCTGAGGGATAATGACAAAAACCCTAATAAAGAGGGAATATGCTAATTGACCCTCAGGCTGTCACAAAGATGGCGGCATCCATAGCCAATAAGGAGGAAATATGCTAATCGACTGCCCCACCCTCAAAGATGGCAGCATCCACAGCCACAAGATGGTGGTGCCCAGTCCCCTTAGCCTCACTAGAGCAACCTTGCCACATGCCTGCCTCCAGAGCCCCCTAGTCCCCTCAGCCCCCCAGTTGCCCAGGGCCGGCCCGAGGAACAGGTAACCAGGGCCAGCAGAGGCTTGTGCTACCAACAGTGGCAGCAGCAGAGGTGTGATGGGGACATTGCTTTCCTCTGATCACCGGGTCACCTCTTGCTCCTGAGGGCTCCTGGACCGTGAGAGGGGGCAGGCTGGACTGAGGGACCCCCCTCCAGTGCATGAATTTTCATGCACCCGACCTCTAGTGTGTATACATAATCTGAATCCTAGATACAGTTTAAGAATAGTTAGCTCTTGACTTAGCATGACATCAAGGATTGGTATGGAGACTAGTGATTTTATAATTTAACTCTGATGATGTTTGTCCAGATTCTGAATGGTCTTTTGGAAATAGAGCAGATAGCAGCCATCAAGCTTACTCCTATTTTAAATGAATAATTGTCCTTGTCTCTCAGTCTTGACCATTCAATGTGGGGTTCTTATAGGCATGAATAGGACAAGGGAGCATGGATCCAGGCAGCCTGGAAGGGAACCTTGGTGGAAGCTGTGATACTGGGAAAGAAGGACTTTATCCTCCAGCTGGCATAGTGCTGCCAGCAGAAAGCCCTCAGCTCAGCTGTCGGTCCCATAAAGGGGTTGCCTCTGTGGAAGAGAGCCACCTTCCTGAGCTTGCTGAGATGGCCATTTTTTGATATCGACAGCCATGCTACATTCCATGCCACATGTCTACTTTCAGAGTCTTCTCTAGGAATGTGGTTACTATGAAACTATCTACTCAGAGAAGGCAAGAAGACTATGATATAACAGAAATTACAACCAGTTTTCTGGTGGAGAAAATCAGAGGCCAGTAACTCCTGATCCAAAAAAGGCCCCTCCTCCTGGCTCCACCTCAGGACAATGCTGAAGCACCATCCCAGCTTCAAAGTCTTCCCTGGAGACAAGCCTGAGGCTTTCATTGAGACAGTCCTATCCTAGCTCAATCTCTCCCTCTGCTCAATCTTTCCTCCCTCTTAGCCTCCCTCACGCCCTCTCTGCTTCCTTCCTCCTTCCTTTCTTCCCAGATGTTGATTCCAAGATGGAAAGTCAAAATGTTAAACTGAGAATAGAAGCAAAGAAGAATTAGATTAGAATTCTAGTATCTAATTTGGGATTTGGAGTGACACCTTGCTTATCTATGAAGGTTAGAAGCTGTCATTTGAAGCCTTCATCCAATCACTTCAAAGGTCGGTGTTAGGGGTAGAGAAAGAAAAGGAAGAATCAAATTATTTCACTTGGATACTTTGTGCTTTACATTGTAACTCTGTTCTTGCCCTTGCTCTTACAAGCAACTCTGCCTTGAGTCCTTTTTTTTAGACCATCGCTTGTCTCCCCTCAGCAGCAGGCAGGAATCTCTAAAAGATCCAGTGAGTAAATGGGCCGTTCTACCTCCACGTTCACATCAGGAGGAGAATGAAAAACAGCCTTGCTTCTAAAGATGTTTTTATTCTCCTGGAGCCTGTGCATCCTCTCTCAGGGGAGTGATGGAAGGCTCACCATTTCACAGCCCTGTCCAGGGTGTGAGGAAGGGCCCTTGAAACTGGGGACTGGATGGGGTAGAAGCCAGGATGAAAATTTAGCGGCACCCAAGAAAGAGTTGAAAAGTCTGGAGGACAAAACCAAGAACCTCACGGAGTTTCCGCTCCCCCCTCGCCCCCCTTGGATCTCAGGAGCATTTATGTGTTTAAGTGTCCCTTCCTCTGTAGACGCCCACCCCTGGGCAGGAACCGCCCCGCCATGAGTAGACGTGGAATGGACTTAAGAAGCCTGAGTCGCCATCCCAGTTGGCCTTCAGAGTGGAAGGGTTGGGGGCTGTGGAAGCACGAAGTCTCACCTTAGCTTTCTGAGTGTACAGGGGGGTGACCAAGTCAGATGGGAGGGCTTGGACTATAGGATCCCTACTATTTCTGCATGACATCCTCATGTTTAGCTCAGGGATGTGTTAATATGTCTTCGTGAAAGGCTTATTGCGGTGCTTTCCCCCCCCCCCCCCCACTTCCCCTACACCGCCCTCAGGCCCCTGCCTGTATGTGTGGCGAGGGGAAGAGAGGCTGGGGCGCTGGCGGGCGTCACCAGGATGGTGCCTTTGAACAGTGGGGTGGAGGGAGTAGAGGGATGAGGTGGGGAGGGCGCTGAAGCATGTGGCCCGCGGCCGCGCACTGGAGCCCGAGGGACCCAGCGGAGTGGCGGGCGCGCTCGCCCCACCCGGGGAGCCAGGGAGCTCGGGCGGGGCCGCGGGCGCAGCGGGCCGAGCAGCGGTGGCTGCGGAGCCAGGGCACCTGAGGCGGGAGGAGGGCGGAGGGAGGAGGGAGGAGGGCGGAGGGCGGGCGCGGTCTGGAAGTGGGGACAGAAGAGGCAGACAGGGAGCGGGCGGGCGCCCTGGCCCGGGGTCACGGGCGCGGGGAGCCGGGCGGCGGCGCGGGCCGAGCGGAGGGAGGAGGAGGGGGAGGAGGGGGAGGCGGCGGCGCGGGGAGCGCGTTTGGGGCGCCGCGGCGGGCGGGGAGGGTGGCGGCCGCCGGTGCGCGCCGGGCGCTGTGTGTGCGCGCTCCTCCGCCCCGGGAGGACGATGGCCCAGAAGGGAAAGTTGGGGTGACGCGTGCGGCCCCCGGAGGCTCGGCTGGGGACTCCGCAGTGAGCCCGACGGAGCGGCGGCCGGGCAAGCGCCCCAAACGCCGAGGCGCCCGCCCCCTCCCTGCAGGTGGCGGCGGGGGCGCGGGGTCCGGGCGCCGGGGACGCGGGGGAGCCCGGCCGAGGGATGGGCTGCGCCCCCAGCATCCACGTTTCGCAGAGCGGCGTGATCTACTGTCGGGACTCGGACGAGTCCAACTCGCCCCACCACACCACCAGCGTGTCGCAGGGCCCCGAGCCTCCCGTGCCCGGCCTCTCGGGGCAGACCGACGCCGCCGCCGCCCTCCCCAGGAGCCGCGAGTCCGGGCCTCCCGGCGCCGCCCGGGTCCGCAGGGCTCGCGCCGAGCTGGGCAGCAGCAGCAGCAGCTCGGGCTCCGCAGCCCCCGCGGCGACCACCTGCCGGGGCCGGCGGCGCCACTGCTGCAGCAGCGCCGAGGCCGAGACCCAGACCACCTATTCCAACCTCCAGGTAAACGCCTCCGGACGCGGGCACGTCCGTCTGTCTGTCCGGTTTGCACGGGTACGGGGGGCTCCAGCGGAGCTGAGTGGCTGTGACGCGGTGGGGTAGGGGAGGTAGTCACCCAGGAGGAGTTTACTTTTCATTCGTGGGGGGTGATGAGAGCCAGGAAATCTGAGCAGGAGAGAGACCCTGGAGGGGTCCCGGGAGCTGGTTCTGGAGGAATGGGTGGGAAAAGGGAGCGCATTGGGGAGCCGGCGGGCTGGCCGGGTTCCCATGGAGGGAGGAAGGCTGTGTCTGGGTTCATGCGAGAGAGAGCAGGGGTGGGTGTCATTGAGAGCAGTCCGTGGCCAGTCTGATTGAATGAAAGCCGAGCACCAGGACGACTGGCGTGGCTTTTAGGGGAATGGTGCAGACCTGGGGCCGGGAGACCGTAGTGCCTCGCATTCCAGTGTTTACCTGGGGAAACCAGCCCAGCCGCATGGAGTCTGAGGAGCCAGGCTGGGGATTTGTGAATGAACGAGGGTGTGCGTTTGTGGAAGATGGAGGGAGAGAACCAGAGTGGGACCTGTTGTTCGTTCCTAGTTTGGGCTGGCTGTAGTCGGGACCTAATGGAGAGAACCTGCCTTGAGTTTGGACGGTCAGCGGAGCCAGGCGAGGGGCGTGGGTTTGCAGTGCAGGGCAGCTGTCTGACGCTGGAGGTTCTGCACACACATCTCGTCTTCCCGGAGGGTGGGGTTGTGAGGAAGTGGGGAAAATGGTCTAAGTGATTAAAGCAGTCACCAGATATTTCAGAAGGAAACGTGATTGCTTTAATGCTGCCCTTCTGTATGTTCTCAAAATACCGTTAAATCCAAGAGGGTTTTCATTGTGTAAACCTGGCCACTGGGCCTGTTATCCATGTAGCCAACAGAATGACAATGGATTCCCCCCCCCCCCCCCCCCCGTTGTGCAGAAGGGGAAAAAAATACATCTCCATGACCTGTAATGTTCGATAGAAGCTGTGTGACATCCACAGCGTGTACATGGCCAGTGGGTTACCAGCAGCCGTTCCATTGGTTATACACAATCTTGTATTTAATACTTGAAAAAGTCGTCCCACAAAGGGTCCAGTGTGAGGAGCCTTCTGGTCTTCACTGGATAAAGTCAGCTCCCAGTGGAGGGACGGCTTGTCTGGCTTCAGTCTGTTAGACCAAAAGCCTCCTCAGTGCACTTATTTTAGCAGCATCTGATTTTGCAACATGAAGCTTAACATGATGCTTATTTATGGCTGTAGCCTTTTACTGGTAATAATTACATATGTGGTATGATAATATAATCATTATAATAAAACACCATTTATTGAGCCCTGCTATCTGCCAGTTAATAAGCGTTCTCCTCATGCTTTTGGATGTTAACCATGTGATGATAGAATGTCCAAACACGAGAGACCTGGATGCATGACAGTGCAATCTACCTATGGAGCGTTTGTTATAGAAGCGTGTGCAGAACAGCATCTTTTTCTTTTGTCAAGTTTTTCTACACACTGGTTCACATAAAGTTTGCATTGGGGGAAATTTCAGGGAAATAAAATTTTATATTTGGTTAAATAATTAAATTGGGATATTATCTATAAAGACTGTCCTTTTGCCTCCTTGTTGAAAATGAAGTTTGAAGACATGAAGCAATAGTTTAGAATGGTGACAACTTATGAACTTTGAAACTTTTTTTAGTTGCTTCAGAGAAATTGTGTGTTTTGCCTTTCAAAGTAGCAGGATTCCCAATTTAGTACCTGGCAACTCTAGCTACCCCATGTTTGTTCAATGAAAGAAAGAATAATGAATGAATTCATTCCCCATGTTTTAGTACTTCTCTCAAGAGGCTACTTAGAGACCAAATGGAGTAAAAACTGGAGGGAAAGTGAGTCCCAATTATTAGCAGCTAGTATAAACTTGTATAAACATCATTGCTACTTGGCTGAAGTGTTAAAAGGCTTGACCTGCGTTGGAATTTAACTCGCTTTGCTTTATCAACAAGAGTTTCAAATAAGAGCTTAATTCATTCCAAGCTATTACTAGGAATGTTGGGAATGAAACTGGTGGTTTAATGACTCAGCACTAATTGCATGTGTAGATCTCAGAAACTATAGATTTGAAATTAAATATGAGACCAGAATTATATAAATCCTACAGAATTGTTACTATAGAATTGCTTTAATATATTTAATAGAATCCTTGTAGGACTTGTGATCCAGTGATATATATATATATATATATATATATATATATATATGTATATAATTTTTTTCAATCTCCACATGGTCCATACTCGTTTGTAGTTAAGGTAATTTTGTAAAAACTACTTTTATTTATTTTTAGAATCAGGATTCTTATAGCTAAGAGTCTGAGATAGTTGCTAGTCATGGCTGCCATGCTCCCCATCCCCCTCTCTAAGATGCTCAAGTAGAAAAGTAAAGTCTTTGCTTTTTTTGTCCTGTTTACAGTGGGCTATAATCATTTTTTTTTAAATTCCCTTTGTACATCAATTATAAACCATATCCTCATTCTTTACTTGGTCTCTGGTGTTCCCCAGAGTACAAATATGTGTGCTTGATCTCTCACTCTCTCTCTTTTCTAGCAATAATTCATCTCATTAAGCTTTTAGAATGATGAAGCATTATGATGTCAAACATGATGTCAACAGGAACCTTCCTGAATGCCTAACTTACAAAAAAATTATAAACATTAATAATTCATATACAGTACAATGATATCATATGGGTTTCCATTTCTGGTAAGAAATTAGATTTGTCTCCAATTGCTGTAAAAATGCAACTTCCTAGCAATTTCTCTCCATCTTGTTTGCCTTTTTAAAAATAGTACTCCAACAGGAGAATCCTGCAGAATGCTCACTTCTGATATTGTGCCAGTTTTGTGATTCTTGTTCAGAAATCCTCGGAGGAGATAGTTGAATCTCTCTCTGGGAAGATCCGGGGGTTCTTACAAGCCTTTTCTCATACCAGCTGCTGCAACTGGGGAGGCAGCTGAGACTAAGCTGCTAGTTGTAGAAAGTCTGTATTGACATACAGTCAACTGGCAGCCATCTCTGTGTAGGTTAGCTGTTTGGTGGATCAGGCACAGGAGGTGGAGTTTCCAAATGATTTTTGTGCTGATGGGCAGTGTTGCCAGTTCCCACTTTCTCCTCCATTCATCACTCTGACTTATGCATTTAGCCAGTATTTGGGTCAGACTCTGTGGTAGACACTAGGGATCCAGGGAATAGCCATGGAGTTTGGTATGGAAAGCCTGATGAGGATGGGGAACCTCTTACAAAAGAATATGTCTAAGCTACTGATTAATGACTTCTATAATTTTCATTCCATGTCCTCTTCCCCACCCCCGAGTTTAAAGGGAAAAGCAATAGATATTTTTCTGAGCTTGTGGTAAATAATTAATGAGATTTTTATTTGGGGGAAGGATAGAACTGTTTTGATAAATATTATTTTTGCTCTATAAGTCTTTAGTGTGCATGAGAGTCACTTGGGAGCCTAGATAGAATATAGATTCTGGCCCCAAATCCCAGTTTCTGATTTAATAGATCTTGGGTGGGGCCTGGGGATTTGGATGTCTAATAAGCTTCCAAAAGATGCTAGTGTGCTTGTTCTGGGGAAGCACACTTTGAGAAGGGCTGCTTTTAAATGCATTAAACTGACTGTTAATTGAGTGGAAGGCATCACATCGCATGTATTTGGGGTACTAGTTATAGCTCGGCCTTCACCTTAGTTTGCTTTTTTTAAAAAAATATATTTTATTGATTTGTTACAGAGAGGAAGGGAGAGAGCTAGAGAGCTAGAAACATCGATGAGAGAGATACATCGACCAGCTGCCTCCTACACACCCCCCACCAGGGATGTGCCCGTCACCAATGTACATGCCCTTGACCAGAATCGAACCCGGGACCCTTCGGTCCGCAGGCCGACGCTCTATCCACTGAACCAAACTGGTTTCGGCCTTAGTTTGCTTTTATATGAGCCACGTGCGATCTCCATTCATGAAGCCGAACGCTGAGCCTCCGAGGATGGCTGGAGAGTTTGTAGGTGGGGAGAGTGCTGGACCACGTAGTCCACTCTGGCTTCCTGAGTGTGACTTCCCCTCAGGATATACTGGGGTTTGTAGAACCTGGTGTCTTGCTTTGCTATCACCGTGCCACAGGTGCTCTGCCCCGCTAGAGCCCTGTCCTGCCTGATGGAAAGTTGCAAGGCAAGGGAGGAACTTAACACAGGCCCACATGACATGGTACAGAACCATGTTCAGTCCTCGACTCTTGAAGTTCTTACTAGACCTTTTTACCATTATTTTTTCATTTTGAAGCCTCACAAGTTGATTTAGTAAAACTCAAATTTGCTTTCTGCCATCGCTCCGTTTTCCCTGTTTTCTTTTGAGTTACGCTAATTTTTAAGGACTGTCAGATAAGTCTCCCTCACTTGAACTTTTGTTAAATAAGTCCTCAAAACAGAAAGTAACGTGGTACAAGCTGCTCACTTTTCATAGGTGCTCCTTCCCCCCTGAAATCCCACGCCGGTGACCACTGAGCAGGACAGGCCATGCTGGCGAGGGCGGGTCTTGTGGCACTAGGTGGGTGATGGGTGAAGGCCAGGAATCAGAATAGGAAGGAGGGAGTGAGCCCTACAGAACCAGGTGGGAAGACAGAGCCCAGCCAGAAGACCATCAGAATTGGGGAGGAGCGGGTGAGTACGTTGGGGCCAGGTGGGCAAGTATAATAAAAGCTGGAATTCAGGGACTTGGCAAAGGTGAGAGTTGCTAAACCAGGTTGAGACTTCTGAGTGGGGGACAGAAGCTGTTTACTTCCTTCTATGTGGGTTTCTCCCCTGAGGGCGAAGAGCACCAGAGACCAATCAGAAGTTTGTAAGTAACCTCAGCACCCAGCTGAGGCAAGACTAACCCACCCGGCCTTACTCACAGCTGACCAAATAGTGTCTGAACAGGAAACAGATGTATATTCGTAAGGATAAT